TATACGTTTATAAATAGCTGGTTACTTCAACTAAATAAATTATTTAAATGAAAATAAAGTTATTAATTATAATATGATTATTTAAGATATTATTAATCATACAAGAACCTTCTAATTGTAAACAAATAATTAATTTATAAAAATATATATTAATATTTTAAATGAGATTTAGAATTTATAAACCTATTTTTATTAATAAACTAACTCTTTCAACTATTTTTTATAGACACAAATAACATTAAATTCATATATAATAACTTTCTCAATTAAATCGCACCAAAATTAGGATTTGATAAAATTCAGCAATTTATTAATAATGCTTTATAAATAATAATTGATTAATAAACACTTATTAATAAGAAAAAAGTAATTTCTGAAACAACATCATATGCTAATTATTTTTAATAAATACAAGTTCTTATATTGTAAACATAAATAATTTAAAATATTCAATAAGTTAAATAGAGATTCATTTAATATTAATTAAAACTAATTATTAGATATGTAATACATATAAATATGTAAATAATATCGTAAAATTTGAATAAGATTTAAATTACAAATGAAAATCCTATAAATGTTTTAAATATAATTACTTCACAAAAATAACATTCAAAATTTTAAAAGAAAATTATTTGAAATTAATTTCAGATGTATAAAAAGATGGTATAAATATAGACTAAAACTAAGAAAGTCTAATATACTAGGTAAATTATTTAGAATATCCTTCTTTGTAATTAAATATGATACAAATTTCCTTTACCCTAATAATCATTCTTTTATCATAAATGAAAAGACAATAACATTTCTTTCAAATTAATAATAAACACCTATTAATATTTTTTTATAAAACTTTTACAATTTACCTTAAGCAGTAGATGATGTTGATGATTATTTTTGCATATAAAATATTTAAGATAAATGGATTACTTAAGATTGCTTACTTTTATATTATAGAAATGATTAAAATAAAATTAATTAATTTATATGTTAATGTAAAACCCAAGGAAAATAAAATCTTGTTAATGACATAAATGGAATATTTAAAAAAACGATTCGTTCAAAAGATTGGTATTTGTATGCTTCTGTGTGGACTTTAGTTATTATTACTATAATTTATATAATTTAATTTTTATATTTATAATAAATTGATAAAATTCAAGACTTATAAATAGAATAAAGCATGATAAAAAGAAATTAAATTAAAGATATTATTTTTAAAAATGATATTACAGATGACATAAGATAAAAGTTATTAGTTAATATTTTTAAAAATGATGAATAAATTATAAAAATAGAAAATCAATAACTTGAGAAAAATCCAAATTAAAAATTAAGTATTTAAAAAAAAATATTATTTATAATATTAAAATAAATTTTTATTGATTTATATTTAAATTAATTTTTTATTTAATATTTTATCAAAAAAAATGAAAAAATAAGTTGATAAATAAAAATTATTAGATAATTTATTAATAACTAACATAAAATATTTTTTTATTATAATATAATTTTTCAATATACTTATGCTGAATTAAAATTGAATAGAAAGTTTTTTTAGAACAATTAACAAATGAACTCAGTGATTTTAAATGAATTATAATATTAAAATATTTTAATAAAAAATGAAAATGATGTATAATCAAATAATATATTAGGTTCTTAGAACATATAATAGCAATAATCAAAATAATAACAAAAGTAAATATAATAAAAAATAAAAGCTAATCCATTAGTAAAAAAATACTAAGCGTATTAAAAGGTAAATATATCAATTTTAATAAAAAGAAGATAAATAAATGATATAATTTGATAATATAGAAGATTTTATTAAAATTAAGCTTAGTAAATTATCTCGTTAATAATAAGTATAAGTTGGTATATAAAAAATTAAATAAGAAAATGGTATATAACTTAAATTTGATTAGTATGAAGTTTAAAATGAGGAAAATTATTTGGCTAAAACCTAAAATTTTGTTTAGATTAAAAGAAAAAAACGTTAATTTAGATTAAATCATTTATTATTTAATAATATAATAAGCGATTAAAACTAAGAATAAAATTATAAGGATAGTGATAAATAAGATTAAAAAGGTTAACAAATAAATGATAAGACAAAATAATAAATATAATATAAAGATGAATTAAATGTAAATAGTAAATAAAATAGATTTTTGTTTGAAATAAAAAATAACTTTTAAAATGATAATTAAGTAAATAATATTAATATGTTATTTCAGTTATAAATTTACATGAATTAATTTAAATATTTATTTGCTTAATTAGTATTAGATTAAAGCTTTTCAATTAACTATATAATATGTAAAATATATAATAATAGTTAATGTTAATTCTATAATATTTAAAAATTTATATTTTATATAAAAAATATTTGTTAATCTATTATTATTATTAACTATTAATTAATTAATTATTTTAATAGAATTTTTCTATAAATTAAATAATATATTATTTAAATATTTAATTTATTTCTGTAGTATTTATATAGTCATAATTTGATATAGTATATTTGTATTAATATTTAGAAAAAAAATTAATAATTAATATAATAATTATGTAATATTTTTTAATGTTTTTATTTATTATAAATAATAAAATTATTAAAAAAAAATTTAAATAATAAAAAATATATAGATAATTTAATTAATGATAATAATAGAAAAAATATAATTATTTAATATTTTTAATAAAGAAAATTTTATAAAAAATATTTATAAAAATAAATATAGTGTATAAATTATTTATATTATGTTTTAGTCGCTTAAAAAATAAAATTTTATATATATATATATATATTTATATATATATATATATATATATATTATAAATTTCATTATAATTTATATTTAAAATTATTATTTATTTAAATTAAAATATTATTTATTTTTATTTATTTATTTATTAATTAAATATTTTTAATATTTGTAATTTATTATTAATTTCTTTATTTTAAATATTTTTTTTTATTATTAAATAATTTTATTTTTATTTTTTAATATAATTATTTTAATTTTATATTTTTATTAAATATATATATCTATTATATTATTATTTTTTTTTTTTTTAATTTTTAATTTTTTAATTTTTTTCTTTTTTTAATATAAAAAAAAGTATTAATTATTATTAATTTATAATTATAATTTAAGATTTTTTTTGAAATGAAACAATCATTATTTAAATATATGTTTTTTATGTATACAGTTTATACAAATTTTAATATTTATATTAAATTAATATATTGATAAAAATAATTATACTTAAATCTTAGTTTAAGTGTTTCAATATTAGTTCTTGTATTTTTTTAAAAAAAATTTAATGCAACTTAGAAAATAATGTTAAGAAATTTAAGAAAGACAAATCAAAATTGCTTTTTCATTTTTAAAACTATGAATAACCAGTAAACAAATAATTTAATGAAGATTTAGAAGAAATATTATATCAAAAAATTTAAGAACTTATTAAATTAAGCAATATACTTATAAAGATAAAAAAATGGTTATATACTTTTATAATTAAAAATTTAAATAATAAAACAATAAATTTATTTAAGAATTAAGATTTCTTTATAGTGCAATTTGTGAATTAGAAAAAGATATTAATTTATTTTTAGTTTTAGTAAAAATATATTATATAAAATATATCTATTAAGAATTTGAACACTTTTAAAGATATATTAACTCCTCTTATTAAAATACTCATATTAAACTTTAATTAATTAATACGAATTCTTTTATTTTATGTAAAGAAAATAAAAAATTTATATTAACAAATAAAATAAGAAAATTTTTATTATGGACCAAGTTAATTAATATAAAATTCAAAAAAATGGTTTAGAGCAGGTTCTTGTTTGCACAATTATTTCAATCCATAATAAGTTAGATACATATAATATAAGATGGCTTATGTCCTGGTTTAAATGTAGTTATAAGAGAAATAGTTTAGCATTTAGATTATAATTATAAAGTTAATTAAATATATGGAGCTAAATATTGATTTAAAGGCATTTATAAGGAAGAATATATAAAATTATTACCTGAAGTAGCTAATTTTGTTCATCATAAAGGAGGGACATTTTTGGGTACATCCAGAACAGGATTTAACAAATACAAAATAATTGAAGGATTGATTAAAAATGGAATTTATTAATTGTATGTCATTTGTTCTACAGTACATTTGCTTATCTTAAAATAAAAAATTATTTTTAAATAATGAAGTTTACCACATATATTAGAATTATATTATGAAGTTAGAAAAAGTAAACTAAATATTGCAATTTGTAATATTCCAAGAAGTGTAGATAATGATATTCCTTTGTAGATAAATCTTTTGGCTATAATAGTTCAATCGAAGCATTAAAATATTAATATTTATTTAGTATTGACATTTTTTTTTTCTAGAAATCTTGAAGAATTCTGGTAAGTACTAATATGGAAGGAAACAAGATCTCATAAAAATGGAATTGCTTTGGTACTGGTATAAAATATGGGTTTATTACTATGGGAGCTTATCTTGCTTCAAGATGCACAAATTTTTGCTTAGTTCCTGAATTTTAGTATAATTTGTATGGAGAAATCTGATTGTTAAAATATTTTAACCAATATATTAAAAACAAAGGATAATGTTTGATAGTTTTTTCTGAAGGAACAAGTAAACATTTATTTTTAATTTTTTATTTTTTGCTTATTAAATTTCTGAAATTTAGAGCTATTGTGATTAATAAAGAATTAATGTAACAATTAAATATTTTGATTTTTTTTATATGATTAGAACTATTAAAGTTAATGCTTATGATGTTAAGCTTTGTAGGGTTTATATTATTTTCTTTTATTTTAAAATAAATAACTGTTTATTATAAATTAATTAATAAAAATAGTACAATTGGTTAAAATGCTGTGCATGGTTTAATGGCTGGATTTACTGGATTTTTAATACAGCATGTCATAATAGATTAAATTAAAAAAAGAAAATATTATATTATTAATTTATAAAAAAGACCTGTTATATACCATTAGAAAATATGCTAATCGTTAACATTAGAAATAGAATAACAAGTAGTAACGGTGATTGTTAAAAGTTACTTGCTTCTACTCGTTAACCTTGATTTAGACACGAAGATTTAATAATTTAATGATAGTATTTATAAAAATTAAAGTAAAAAATATATATTTAGTTTAAACAAAAAATATTTTAAAAATAAGGATTTTCATATAAAATAAAAATTTTCATATAAAATAAAAATTTTAATATAAATAAAAATTAAAATAAGTTATACCGAATATTTTGGATTATTTTATCCAAAATTTATTTGAAGGTCTATAAATTATTTGAAGAATAAAAAATTATTTGTTTATATATAAATTTTATCAATTTTTTTTTATATAAATATTACATAAAGTTTTAATATTTAAATTATTTTAATTTAAAATAGAAATATTAATTATTATCTTTTAATTTTTATATAATTTGTAATTTAAAAATTTAAATTGATTTAATTCCTTTTCGTTAAAAAATTCAATAATTTTTATAAATAATTGTTCATATTATTTAAAATAATTTGTTATTTACTCGAACTCAAAATGTTATTACGGTACAAAAAAATTGAAAAAGTTATTTAGACTTATAAAAATGAGTTTTGTAATTAATTTAAGATAAAATTTAGATATTTGCGTCTTGAAATCTAATAATATCATAATCTATATATAAATAAACTCTCAAATAAATGCGTAAATGCGAGTATCATCTTATTAATATAAAAAAAGAAAGATGAAAAATATGCATAAAGAATCTTTATTAAAATGGTAAACTTATTTTATTTAATATTTAAAATAGAAAATAAATTATTTCTTTCCAAAATACTAATATTTATTAAAATTTCAATTTTACATTAATTAATAATTTTAAATTCATTTGAAATCTTAATTTTAAAAATTATAATCTATACCATTAAAAAGCGTTTATTTTCAATTAAAGGTATATAAATTATACAAATTTTTGTTTTCATTTTTAATTTATTTTAATTCTTCGTTATATTTTTTTAAAAGAATGTTAAAGTAAAATTTAATTTTTTGAACATTTCAATTTACATAATTAAATTTATTTTTAATTATATAGTTAAAAATAAAAAGTCCTATAATTTTTTCATTCATTTTATAATTTATTAAGCAAAGTAAAAAATAACATATATGCAATTCTTAAAATATAAACTATAATCTATTTATTATTTATATTTTTTATAATTTTTTTTTTTTTTTATAAAAATTATTATATTAAAAATATTATATATATAATTATTAATTTTTTTATATAATTTTATATGAAAAATTTAATTAATAAAAGTCTATAAACTATATTTTCTTTTTTTTATATATTTAAAATTAAAAAGAATAAAAAATAGAAAATTAATAGCTTGAGAAAACTCAAAAAACCAAATAAAAATTAAGTATTTAAAAGAAATATTATTTATTTATAATATAAAATAAGTTTTTATTAATTTATATTTAAGTTAATTTTTTATTTAATTTTATATTTTTATCTTAAAAAATAAATTTTGATAAATAATTATAATTAGATAAATTTCATTTATAACTAATATAAAATATTTTTTATTATATACTGAATTAAAATAATATAAAGATTCTTTTTAGATGAATTACCAAATTAAATCCGTGATTTTAAATGAATTATAATATTAAAATATTGCAATAAAAAACGAAAATGATGCATAATCAAATAATATATTAGGTTCTTAAATCCTATAATAGTAATAATCAGAATAATAACAAACGAATACATAATAAACAATAGAACCTAATTCATTAATAAAAAAAAATACTAAGCTAATTAAAAGATAAACATATCGATTTTAATAAAAAGAAGATAAATAAATAATATAATTAGATAATATAGAAGATTTTATTAAAATTAAGCTTAGTAATTTATCTAATAAATAATAAGTTTAAGTTGGTATATAATAAAGTAAATAAGAAAATGGCACATAACCTTAAAACGATTAGTATAAAGTTCAATATGCGGAAAATGATTTGGCTAAAACATAAAAAAATATTTAGATTAAAAGAAAAAAACATTAAGCTAGTTTGAATAATTTATTAAATAAGAATATAATAAACCACTAAAACTACTAAGAAAAAGGTAGTTATAAATAAGATTAAAAAGGAGAACAAACAAATGATAAGACAAAATAATAATATAAAGTTGAATCAAATATAAATAGTAAATAAAATAACTTTTTATTTTAAATAAAAAATAATTTTTAAAATGAAAATTAAGTAAATGAACTTAAATCGTTATAAATAAAAGTAGCTTTATATCAATTATAAATTTACATAAATTAATTGCTTTAATTAATTTTTAAGTAGAAATTTAAAAAAACTTTATAATATTTAAAATATATAATACTTATTACTTCTTATTATATTATATTTAATGATTTAAATTTATACTAAAAAAACTTGTTAAATAATTATTATTATTAACTATTAATTAATTATTTTGATAGAATGTTTCTATAAAAATTAATAATATAATATTTAATATTTAATTTTTTTTTTTTTTTCTATAGTTTCTATAGTCATAATTTTTTATTATTATATTTGTATTAATATTTAAAAAAGTTTGATAATTAATATAAAGTCTTTTATTTTATAGTAATATTTGTTTATTCTTTTATTTATTATATTTTTTCTGTATTTATTCGGTAAAAGCTATTAAAATATTTGATATAAAATTTATATAAAAATAATAATGGATAAAAATATAATTAATAAATAAAATATAATTATTAGATATTATTAATACAGAAATTTATATAATAAATATTTATAAAAAAAATATAGAGTTAGAGAATTATTTTTATATTATATTTTAGTTCTTAATTAAAAATGTTTTAATTAAAAAAATAGAAAATTTTTAAATATCTTTTATTTAATAATAATTATTATTTTCTTTTTATTTATAAGTAATTTGAATTTTATTTTTACCTTTTTTGTATAAAAACAATATTAAGAAAATATATTTAAATAGAAAATTTTTAAAATTATAAAAGAAATAAAAACAATAAATAATTTTAATAATATATCTATAAATAATTAAAATAAATAAAATATTGTATTTAAAATCAAAAAATGAAATAAATAAAATAATAAATATAATAATAAATAAATAAATAAATAGATTTATATAAATTTTTTAAATTATTATAAAAAATATTTTTTTATCATTTTTATTTCTTTATATAAATAATTTTCATATTATCAATAAATTTTCATATTATAATAATTTTTTTTTAATATAAATTGGTATTATTTTTGTATAATATGTTAAATATAATTATTATAATATGTATTATATATTTTTTTTTTAATTTTAAATTTGGCCTTATATTATTTTTATTAATATATTAAAAATAATAATATTTATATAGATTATATATTTTTAATTTTAACTATAAAAATTGTATATTAAAATTATTGTTATTTTACTGAATTAATTAATTTTTAAATTATTTTATATAAAAAATATTAATGTTTTTTTATCATATCATTTACATATTAATTTTTTTTTTAATATAATATTATTTAATACTAAGAACAATTACTTTTTTTATAATTTTTAAATATAGCTTTAAATAATTAATGATGAATACGATTATTAAAAATTATACAAAATTTATTTTTATAATAGTTTATCTATTATAAGCTTTGAATTTTTAAAAAAAACACTTTTGAAAAAATGTTTAAATACACACTTTTCGCCATAAGATGCTATTGATTGTGGTTTTAACGTTTATACTCCAGTTGGAAAAACGATAACTTATATATGTGGTCCGAAAACTGTTTTAGGAGGATTTGAAATATGTGGAAACAACTGTGTTATATCCTTAAATGTTAAATCAAATAAACCTGTATATAAATATTCATTCAACTTTTAATATGTAATGATTGATCACTGGGATTTTAAACGTGAATTTTTATATTTTAAAATAAATGGATCTCTTGCTGCAAAATTATAAAAAGTTTTTACTTTTTAAATATTATGCGCAAGAAAACATTTAAAAGAAAAATACTAATAAGCTGATTTCGATTTTTAAACTAATGATACTCTACTTGATATTACGATTACTAATGAAATATTTATAAATAATGACGCTTTTTTAAAATCGTTTGGAATTACGGAATTTGAAATTTATGCTTTTGAGTGTATGCCTTAATGTGCTAAATGTAATAACGATACTTCTTGTAGTTCTTGTTTTGATGGCTAGTATTTAAATATAGATAATTGTTAAAATTGTGGTATTGCGTAATGCTAAAAATGTACAGATGGAATTTCTTGTGATTTATGTGAAATTGGATATTTTTATAATGATTCTTAATGTATTTCTTCATGTCCAAAAAAAAAATATGCAGATGCTTCAACAAGAACTTGTTAGGATTGTAATAGTAAATGTGCAACTTGTTCTAATGCAACTGATTGTGACACTTGCTTTAAGAATAGGGTTGGAACTACTTGTGAATGCCCTGCTTATAGCTATGATAATTTGAATTACACATAAGCTTGTATCGAATGCTCTACTATATCAATTGGATGTTCTACTTGTAATGCTACTAAATGCTAAGCATGTCTATCAACGCATTTTTTAGATGGAAATTCATGTGTAACAGCCTGTCCTGCAGGTAAATGGGGAAATACGACAAATAGATAATGTACAGCTTGCTTATTTAAATGTGCAACTTGCTCTAATGCAACTGATTGTGACACTTGTTTTGAGAATAGACTTACTTAATAATGTAATTGTCCTTAATATTCTTATGATCCTAATATTTTCAATTAAGCCTGTACTTTGTGTTCTACTTTTTCAACTGGATGTGTTACATGTAGTAAAACGGAATGTCTTACATGCAAAATTCCTTAATATTTTTAATTAAACTAAAATAAATAATGCGATTCATGCTTAAATATAATGGCCAATATACATTTTAGTTCTGATTTTTTAGATTTAATTATAGATTTTGATTATTATTATACTAATTTATAAATTGATATTATTATCTCTAATTTAGATTTATAAAGTTATTCTTCTTAATTATAATTTACAAATTAACTTTGTATAGAAACCTTAGACTAAAATTTTATTACTTCTAAATTATAAGGAAATATTTTTTGTTCTTTTGATAGATATTTAAAAACACTTACACTTAAGCTTGATACTGTAAGTACTATTAATAAAGATGATATAATAAAAATAAAACCTGGTGTGTTTAAACTAACAAATAATGGATTTGTTTGTAATGATTTTCTTTAATAAATAACTGGAAAAGTAAGTTTAGACACAAATCTAGTTACAAAATTAACTTAAACAAATCCTATTTCCATATGTTAATAAGCATAAATAATAATATAATGTATTTCTAATTGTGGTAATAAATAATTAAAATAAATTGATTGGTCTCTAATTTCTTCTAATGTAAATACAGTAAATGAAATAAATTTAATAAATACGTAAATTTAATAATAAAATAACTAATACTTTATATAGATACCGCCTTTGTAATTGAAAAAATAAGGATAATACTAATTCTAGGTTGATGTAGTTTCCTAGTTTAACTAAGCAGCAACTGCAAATGTAATAATATAAACTTTATAAGACATATTTATAGACATAAGAGTAAAAACAAATCCGATCTAAATTTATAGAAGTAATTTAGTGAAAGTAAATGTTTATTTTAATCTCTTATAATGCGAAAACGATGGAAAAATATCTTATCAATAAGCAGATGTATATTAAATATAAATAAAATAAAATGACAATTTAACTGAATTATTAAATATTAATCCACATA